CCCCAAAACCCCAAAACCCCAAAACCCCACTAGATCACAAAGAATATCTACGGGTGAATGATTTGTTTTTTGAATTAAAACTAAACATTATAACAATCAATGTGAGTATCAAAGGAATCAGTCTATAATCGATGTTCTGAGTCTCGGAGCGAGCTACATTGCCATTAATTCTTGGATTAAAAGCTTAGCTGCATAAGGAATCTTTACTTGACAAATATTTGAAGTGTTTTAGCAATTATTGCATTCATATCTCTATTCAGCTAAGTTCGCTTAGCATATAAGGCCGCATGTCTGGCATATATGCACTCTATAGCAATCTGAGACATCGAAGAGTCTTTCTTTTAAGAATCTAGCTGCACCATGGGAAATCATACAATCTCTTTCCATCTCTCCAAATCTTAAACCTCCATCTCTTGATCTACCTTCTGTTGGCTGTCTTGTCAAAATTTAAGTTGGTCCTCTGCCTCTTGAGTGAATCTTGTCTCCGACCATATGTTTTAGTCTTTGATAGAAGGTAGGTCCTAAAAAGATCATGACTTCAAACTTCTTTCCTGTGAATCCATTATACATTACCTCGTTTCCATATCTTTGATAACCAAGTGAATGAAGCAAAGCCGAAATATCATCCACTTTTTAACCGCAAAATGGAGTGGCATCACCTTCTGATCCATTCAAAGCTGCTACTTTTGATAAAAGACACTCGATCAAGTGACCAATAGTCATTCTTGAGGGAATAGCATGTGGATTTACGATCATATCTGGAACGATTCCTTCCCTTGTAAAAGGTAAATCTTCTTGCCTGTAAGTCATTCCGCAAGTACCCTTTTGTCCATGTCTACTGGCGAATTTATCTCCAATTTATGGAATTCTTACTGCTCTCATCTTTACTTTAGTAAACTTTTAAGCTTCATCATTAGTTGTTAAAATAACTTGATCGATAATACCAGACTCTGAATGTTTCAATGGGACAGAACAATCCTTGAACTTCTTGTTTGTCTAGTCTTTGAGGTCATCATTAAAAGTATTTTAAGACATTTTAGCTATCTTTCCAATGATGATGTCATCACCACTGACTAGTACGCCTGGATTGATCAAACCATCAATATCAAGCTTATCATAATCTCCATGCTTTCTTCCGGATGTTTTTGCAAAATCTGGGATTGCAAATGTTTCATCTTACTTAGAACAATCATCATAGGTTCTGAAGAAAACAGATCTAAAGAATCCTCTGTCTATTGCACTCTGATTTAACATGATAGAATCTTCTTGGTTATAGCCAGTATAGCAAGCAATAGCAATAGTGGCATTTAAACCAGAGGAAAGTTCCTTGAAATGTAAGAACTCCATTGATTTTGTAGCAACCAAAGGTTTTTATGGATAGTAAAGAACATGTGCTAAAGTATCCATTCTCATTTAGTAATTGCTAGTATACACTCCCATAGCTTACTTTCCCATAGCGCTCTAATAAGTATTTCTTGGAGATTAATTGTGATCTGGAAATGGAATGATACTGGCACAAACACCAAGAATCATAGATGGATGAATCTCACAATGAGTATAGGAATATTTAAGGGCCTTTTCTCCCTTCAGATCTTCTAAAGTCATAGCAATCATAACAGTCTCTTCCTCTTCAACATCCAAAAACTCGCATAGTCCCTCTTAGAGTAAATCCTCAAAATTTTTAATACTTCTAATCAATTGAGGAATGTGCATTTTCTTAATTTTAAGCCTTGAATTTTCAACAATAAATAGTGGTCTTTGCACCCTACCAGAATCAGTAAAGAACTTTATTTCCTTAGTATATATATCTCTAACAATTGAAATTTCTTTTGGTATAGTGTAAGTTCTTCTCATTTCCTTGATTGTATCAACCAGATCATTCGCATTTCTGTGACATCCTATCCAATTACCATTTACGAAAACTTTACACAGACCTTTTTATTAAAGAATCTCTGGATCTAAAGAGCTTAAATCTTCGACTCCAAAATCCTCTAAGATTTCAATCAAAGTCTTATTCGGAGATCCAACAGACACTAAGGCCATTAATGAAAGATTTTTAACCAATCCACAAGCTTAACCCTCTGGAGTTTCTGCTGGGCAAACCATACCCCAATGAGAATTATGTAATTAACGAGGTTTTGTCAATTTACCTGATTTTGCCAAAGGTGTGTTAAGTCTTCTTAAATGAGACAATGATGAAGCAAAAGTTAATCTATTTAATACTTAAGCAACTCCAGTCTTTTGAACATCTCCTTATTTATCTTTACCCCAGTTTCCTGTAGCTAAGGCACTCTTCAATCCCCTGGTTATTGTATCACTTTTAATTGCCTAAGTTAGGTTGATACAATCCTTTCCATTGTCAATATCTCTTTTGAGATACTTAATCATATCATCAACACATTGTCTAAATTATTATCTGAACAGGCCACTCAATAAGGTTCCAGCCATATCAAGTCTCTTTTTACCATAATAATCTCTATCATCTTCTGTGGTCCTTCCTAATGATGCTTGAATTAGTCTATTAACCATATATCCAACAAAATATGACTTCTTATACAAACCCTCTGAAGTGACTGAAATATGAGGTAAAAATTCAGACTCTAATATTTTCAATGCGTATGAGATTCTTATTTCCCTTCTATACTATGCGCCACTACCTCTTTTTGAAATATAATCCAAAGCTTCTTCTTCGTCAGTATAAGCCATAGCTTCTTCTAAAGATGGTTTTAATACCTCACACATCTCAGCATCATTTGGATCATAGCAAATTTTATTAATAATTTATTTGTCACTGACGCAACCAAGTGCTCTCATTAGAATAGCGACAGGAATTGGTTCTCTGATAGCAGGTAAAGTTGCATAAATACATTTTGCATAGTTTCTATTACTTCCCTTTGATTATAGTGCAACAGTAAATTGCTGAGGTGGTTTATTTGAATTCTCAGCTTGTGATCTAATTTCTGCCATCCAATTGAATTTGGCGGGAGGCTTTCTATGAAAGACTAGAACAATATTATTAGCCATTCTCTCTTAAGCTATAATAACTTTCTCTCCTCCATTGATAATAAAGTACCCTCCTTAATCGTATAAACACTCTTTTGCATTTCTAACAATTTAGGTATCATCTAGGCCTCTCAAGTGACAAAATTTAGATCTAACCATTACTGGTACCTTACCAAGGAATGCTTATATTGGCTTTTGTTCTTCAAGCACAATAAATTTTGGTTCTCTCTTCTCTCCATCTGTTAATCCAGATCTATCAATAGGTATCTATTTAAGCTTTTGTAGCCTCACATCTACATAAATTTCAGTAGCATATGTTAAATTTCTAATTCTTGCCTCATGAGGAAACACTGCAGAGTAGCTTTCATCTGATTCTTGTATTCTTGGAGAATTGTTTACATGCACCTGATCGAAAATAATATCATAGAAAATATTCTCCTCGTCTTATCTATCGTTTCTACCTCTAGGCATAAATTGTGGTTCTACTTTGATTCTGTTACTTTTGTGTTCCTTTACAATTTCTTGTACATTCATTTCAAGGAAACGATTAAATGAGGAGATTTACTGTGAAACCAGACCATGCTACTTGAAATAGGCACGAATTACTGCCCAAGCATCCTCGTAATCAATCTCTCCTTAGAATTTGTCATATTCATTTGCCTTTGACTAACCTTAGTAATCTTCCGCGTTTAACATTTTTAAGATTATATTATATTTAATCCAATATCAAATTTTTATAATTTAAAGATTGAGGGGTTTTGGGGTTTTGGGGTTTTGGGG